TCCTTGGCAATTGAAGCTTCAGGAAGCAATCCAAACAAACCTGGTCATCGCCAACAGTAGTAGTAGTAGTAGTAGTCGTCGTCGTCGTCGTAGTAGTAGTAGTAGTAGTAGCAGCAGTAGCAGCAGGAGGAGTAGTAGTAGTAGTCGTAGTCATAGTGATAGTAATACGACCAGAACCCTAGGTCTGCCGCCGCCCATCGCGAAACACCTGGCGGGCGTGTGGTTTCGGGCATATGGAAACCTAAACTTTTCAGGATACCGGGGGGTCCTACGAACAAAAACCCTGATTTTTGGGGTGTTTATCAAAGTCTATAATGTCCAAGAAAGTAAAGCTTCCTGTTGCCAAGTGTTCTTGGTCGAAGCCACTGGCTTGAATTAGGGTTACCTCGCTGCAGACTACAACTTCTGTGCAAGGACCCCCTGAAGCGGAAACATATGATGACAGCCAGCCCATCTGTCACATTGCGCAAAGGCGGCATGATGAGGCGCTACAATCTTCACGCACTTTTCAAAAGCACGACCAGCCCAACATGTCAAATCCTAGTTGTGTGGTACAATTCCATGCTGCCAACCTGCAAATCCTGAATCCTAACTTTGACATTGTGTGACAATGCACATGGTGCTGTCCATCCCGTACGTCACGGCCCCCCCACGACGACCCCACCCCACCGCCTACCCTCCCCAACCCAAGCAAGAAGCAGCTTCTGGTGCCAAGAGCGGCGCCAAATAATCCGCATGCTGTTTTGACGGTGAACGTTGGGGTCTGGTAAGAGTACTAGCTAGTAATAGTAATCGTAATAGTAATCGTAATAGTAATAGTAATAGTAATAGTAATAGTAATAATAATAGTAATAGTAATAGTAATAGTAATAGCAAAAGTAATAGTAATAGTAATAGTAATAGTAATAGTAATAGTAATAGTAATAGTAATAGTAACGGTAATAGTAATAGTAATATTAGTAATGGTAATGGCAACAGCAATAGTATTGTAATTGTAATAGTCATAGTCATAGTAATGGTGACCTTGCCCGCATAGCCAGACGCCTTTTGAAGGCGGCTCTAATTGAGCACCTTAAAGCCGGCGGGGGTTCCATCAAGAGCATTGCCGGCAAGGGCCAGTTTCATCGAGAGTCAAGCAGGAAGGGACGAGTCACCCGTAGACTTGCTGGCCCAGCGGGTGGCTGACGCCATCCCGCAGCAGGAATGGGAGACGGTTGTCAGTCTTCGTACAAGCGCAGCTCCACCGTCGCTGGGGGAGCGCCATACGAGATAATGACCAGCAGTTCCTGGCACGACTTGCCCGCACTACATGGGCGGGACCTGAAGACCTTGATTGAGTGGGTGGAGACCCGTCCATAGATGGGAGCGGTGGCCGGCCCCGGCCTGCGCGCGCAACATAGCCGTCGACGCTCACGAGTGTGGATCACAGGCAAAACCCATGGCCAGCCAACTCCTACAAGAGGTGGCTACCTGGCTACCTCTGCCTTCAACCACCAAGGTTCCGGCAGACGATGGGGATGACGCACTGTGGGTGCGCGAACTTTCAGGTGCAACCTCCTCCTCATCTAAAATGCACCGCCCCGCTGCCCAGAAGGCCTGCAACAGGGTTCTCCAGTCCTCCGCCCCGTGCTTCCAGGCACTCGCTTTTGGGGGCCGGGACACACCAAAAACCCCTGCCCAAGTGCAGCAGAGTCCAGGTTCGCTTGGGGGTGGCAACCCATAGTGCCAGGTGCCAGCTCCGCACTCAGCAGAGGGCGGACTGGACTCGTAGCGGCTGGGTACAACCCGAAGCGGATCCTTCCGGGTTGATCCAGCGGGTTGATTCGCGGGCCAATGTGCCCAGATACTTTGGACTCTATGGGCGGCACTGTGCACTCGTGTGAATAGTAAAAGTAGTAGCGAAAGTAATAGTAAGAGTAATAGTAATAGATAATAGTAATAGTAAGGAGTAGGAATAGCAGTAGCCGTCGCACTCATTGCAGTCGTAGTGACAACGCCACGAGGCTGTACAGAAGCTGACCGACCGGTTGTGATGGAATGGAATGGAATGGAAATTGTAGTTGCAGTAGTCGTAGTGGTAGTTGCAGTTGCAGTCATCGTGGTGCTGCTTGTCGCATACAGTGCAGTAGTAGTAGACAATTCTTAGTAGCAGTCTTAGAAGATGGAGGCTACGACGAATACCGCTGCTAGTAGAGCGAATAAACGCGACTAGCTCTGCTTCCCTTCCGGCTACGTTTGTCACTTCTCCGAAATAGAACATGTGAGAATAGTGGTCATGAAGCTGCAATCCAGGTGCTGGCCTGCCGTACCATCTGACCGGATGCTCTGTGAGTGAAGGCGCGGAGCTGCCGTGGAGTGATGGCTTGTTTTGTTGGGGAAGGTTAGGTGTTGCAAAGACTGGACTCGTGGAAGGAGATGTCTTGCCAACTGCCTCATTGTCCAGAGAACGTACCCAGAAGGCAGAAGAAGTGGCCTGTCATCAGTTCATTTGTCATGGAGAGTGCGCCCTTCACAATTGTCAGTGTTGGCGCTGTGCTTAGGACTGCGGTCCAGGATTCCACCTGAATGACAAATCGGAGTGCGTGCCGTTCACTTGCTCGGTGAGCAAGGGATGCAGAATATGTGTTGAGCAGCGCCTCAGAAATCGAGACGACCAATGCGCCGAGTGTCAACCCGGCTACAAGCAGACGTTGGACGACGTGTGTGAGCCGTACTCATGCCTCACAGGCCCGTGCCATCTCACAACATTTTGGCAGCATGGTGCATCACACGTGCCTTGCACTTGGCAGGTGAGGCAGCGGCTTGCAAGGCGTGTTTACCCCAAGAAGAACGCACTGCTGACGGAAGCCCGTCAGCTGTTGGCCAACGGGCCTACGGATCGAAACATGACAACTTAGCTTGAACAAATTTTCTCATAATCAGCTGAGGACAATGCAGCGAGTGCAACGCAGGTTATGACATGAACAAAGACCATTCCTGTGGGGCTTTCACTTGTACGACTGGTCCCGATGAGGCATGCAAGGTGGGGCAGGCATTGTTTGCAAGAGGAATGGTTTGACAGAGACGATTGTTGGATGATGGCAGGTCTGTCGAGGTGTGGCCGATGAGAAGGGGCATCAGCCGAAGGTAGCGCGATTGTCAGTTGGAAAGATGCTTGGCGCAAAGCAAGTGACTTCAGATATTATCAGATGCGCTGCACCGTGCCAGAACGGCTATGATCAGATGCTCCGCAGCCTCAGGTCCTGTCCAGATTCCAGAAAGCTTGGCGTTTACACCAGCAACAAGCCTATCTCGCCAGCAAACTGCGCCAATGCTGTCTGCAACGACAATCGATGTGATCAGGCGCTGGGATAGCGAGTCTTTTTCTTTATGCTCCCTGACGGAAGTCATTAGAAGCTTCTCCTAGATTCCAGTGGCTTATTCAGGCGCAGTTTGAGATCCTCATCGCGGACTCCATTTTTTGGAATCTTTGCGTTGCAGTTGGTCATTTCTAGCTTGAACTTGCTGCAAGTCCTGATCATGAGTTTTTACGATGGTATGTGCAGTCTGTGTACTCTGAGGCAATGCTCATGCATCAAATCTGGAAACAAGTGCGAAGATGATGATCGCATGCAAGTTGCTGGCGTAACCTCCTACAGCCTCCAAGAGTGCAAAGCACCAGTTAAAGAAGCTCTCACTGTGGCTTCGCTGCACTTGGCTCGTGTGTGGTGACTTGCCGAACGGAAAGTGCCAGCTACCCACTTGCGCACCAGGCGAACAACCAGTGTGTGGAATGCTGCTTGTCCCGGAGCATGTCAGTCTTGGGTTAACTCCTGCCGTTGCTCTTCTGTGTGCCATCGAATAGGGTGTCTGATGAGCCCAAGTGCAGCTATGAGGCAATCCTGGCTACCTGCTGGATGATGACTTGCTTTGCAAGCCGTTTACGTGCCTTGAGGGTCCAGGCCTGTGCAGCCAGATGAAACTTTTCTGTCAGAATCTGCAGTCTGAGCAGGTGCCCTGTGCAAGACATGCGCTCTTCAATCCAAAAGGACCTGGCTTCTGTGAAACGTCAGTTGTTGTCTTGGACAGACCTAGTTGATGCTTTGGTAGGACTGGCCAGAACCAGTGTTTGAATTGCAATCCTGGCTACTCCCTTACCGGTGACTTGACGTGCAAACCCTACACTTGCGAGACTGGTGCGGCGGATGCATGCCTCCTGTCATGCAGCTATTGCACATCGGAGCTTGTCTACCGTCATGAACACGAGCTGGTGCTCATGCAGCTAAGGCAAGACATGTGCAGCTGAAAGCGAGAGGACGAGTCACAATCAGTGTGCTGAATGCAACCCTGGTTATGGTCTGACATCGACGGGATCTTGCGAGATCTTCACTTGCGTCGCAGGCAGATAGTCCCAAGTTGCGTACCAATGGCCCGACTGTACGAGCCGGGTTCTGCTTGCGCGACAAGCTGTGTTGCAAGGTACTGGTTCCATGTGCCGGACATGCAAAGATGTGGCCCTCAGAACCGACAAGAATCAGTGTGCTGAGTGCAATCGAGGACTGGCCGATTCGTCAGCTCTCTTTCTTCCTGCTGATGCTGCTGCCACCACCACCAGCAACTATTGGTACGAACGCTGGTGCCAATATTTTTTTCAATATTACGACAACGACGACTACTATTGCAATTACCGTTGCTGCTCTTACAATTGCAAGTATGAGTGATGGTGCTATACCACCACATATTACTTGACTTACGGGGGCGGTACGGAATGGACGTCAGAATTGTGAAGAGGAGCCCTTGCAGGTTTACTCTCGGCCAGCATCAGGCTGTCGGCTAGGCTGGTTGGAGCGCCCCGAGGGTGATCTAGAGAGTCTAGATAGTGTCCGCGGTGAGCAACTGCAGAGACATGGCACATTCCTATGACGCCCCAGTACTAGTGCTGGGGGGCTGCACACAAGGGGTACACGGGGCTCTTAGCCATCACAAGCAAGCAGCAGCCCAGCTTACAGGGATACAACAAGTATTTGGGGGTATGTGGATGGTTGGGGGGTTGAATGAATGGTACCCGACCGTAACTGCAGCCCCCCCCGGACCCCAGCCCCCCAGCCTCAAGGGATGCTTTACAACGCGCCTCCTACTACAATTACTGCTGCAACCAACAACAACAACTACTGCTGCTATAATTGCTTGGACCACTGCCACCATTATCACCATTACTTTGCGTCTACTTCTTAGACATTGGCAGGTATATAAGGGGGACAACACCTAGCCTGCATTGTCCAGGATGTTCTCTGCGTCCTTCGCCAGGATTCTTGCTGGCCGATGACTCGACCTGTCAGCCGATCACTTGTGAAACTGGTCCTGGCGCGCTTTGCAAGAAGTGTCAGACGGCAAGGGACAGCACCGCAAACGTGTCTTGACACGTACAGGCTTTTGACTCTCTTCTTCTGTTTTGGATGATGATGTCGCTGGAACTTCGATCATGCATTCTTGCTTCCCAGGATCAGTGCTTGGAGTGCAATCCTGGCTACCAGCTGACCGCAGATTTTCAATGCAGTCCCTTCCCCTGCTCTGACCAACCAGAAACAGGATGCAAAGTCTGCAGAGGCCTGACACATGTCCAATCATTCTGGGTAGTTTTACGGATGCGAATTGCTTTTGGTCGGTGACCTTTGACCTGATGCTAAGGCCAAACGAAGAGAACGGCAAGTGAGCAATGCCAGGAATGCAGGCCTGGATACTCGCTGACTGTGGACCACTATTGCGAGCCGTTCGTGTGTGACGAGGGACCCGGTATGCTTTGCAAACGATGCTTGGATTTGGATATGCGGACCGCGGATGATCAGTGCGCTGAGTGCAACCGTGGGTATGCTTTGACAGAAGACTTGTCCTGTGCAAGCTTCACATGCAGCACGGGACCTGGTGCTGCCTGTAAAGTATGCACCGATGCTGCAAAAGCCACTGGCAACAACCAGTGCCTCGAGTGCAACGCTGGATACGAGCTCCTTGCGGATGGCACATGCCGGCAGTACAGTTGCCAGGTCGGCATCGGAAGCATGTGCAAGGCCTGCAAACACCCCAAACAGCGCACGGGTCATGGTCAATGCACGGCGTGCAACAATGGGTATAAGCTGAATGAGGAAGGCTTGTGCATCCTTCCACGGTGCAGTTCTGGCGAAGATTCCAGCTGCAAGGTATGCGGGTCTGGGGATGAATGCAAGAGATGTCGCCCTGGTTACCAGCTCACTCCATCTTTTGCCTGTCGCCAATTTGAGTGCCGGAAGGGAGGCAGGTGTTTGCCAAACAGGGGCGTCCCCTTCACATGGCCTCAAGCTTCTGTTCCCTGACATATTACGTGAAACCAAGACGTACTTGAGAGCGCATAGCATGAGAACTGTTACATGTTGTCAATTCACGCTGCTGGCACCTTTCTTCACAGGTGGCTCTTTGTGCAAGACATGCAGACCTTTATTGCAGAGAACGGCTCCGGACCAGTGTCAGTCTTGCAATCCTGGCTTCTCCTTGGTGGGGGCCGAGTGCAAGCCGTTCAGCTGCGAAACTGCTCCTGGGCTTGGATGTGACTCCGGCTTGCATTGGCCGATCTTGTCCACTGCGCGGAGTGATGTTTTCTCTCATCGCACACGTAACGATTTGATTGCTTAGGCAAGAAGTGCAGAGCTCAAAGCGAGCGAACTGGAGACAACCAGTGTGAGGAGTGCAATGCTGGCCATGTGCTCAACCAGGAGTGTAGAGAGTTGCAAGAAGCAGATGCCCAGGACACAGCAACTTCGAGAGACAAGTTGTCCAAATATGTCAGGACGACTTCTCCTGTTCCAAGTACTTGTGCAGCATGGGTCAGGGGCCGGCCGCTTGTCTAAAGTCAGTTGGCCAGGGCGCGATCATTCTGAGCTAAGCCCAGTTAAGGCATGCAAAACTTGCAGACCCCCTGGCGAGTTGACGGCTGATGACCAATGTGCTACTTGCAATCCTGGGTATGGACTGACAGCAGACTTTCAATGCCAGCCCCTTCATTGCGATGAGGGCGATGGCACGAAATGTGCAGTTTGCAGAGATAGACTGGACAGAACGGAGCCTGGACAGTGTCTCGCGTGCAACCCGGGCCACGAGTTGACTGCAGACTTCAAGTGCAAGCCATTGGAATGTGAGGTAGGTAATGCCCTTACAGATTGCAAGGCATGTGCACCAGTTTCTGACCGGAAGGTCCGCAATCACTGCTCTGAGTGCAATACAGGATCCGGCTTGGCTGGGGCCAAGTGCCAACCCCTCACATGCAAGACAGGATTGGGTCCCGCCTGCGAGGTCTGTCAGGCAAAGGGAGACAGGACAGACTTCAACCAGTGCAAATCTTGCAACGCCGGCTATTTGCTGGACGGCCAGCAACGTTGTCAACCTTTCCAGTGTGCTGCGGGTGAAGCGGACAAGTGTAAGACGTGCAGGCCACAGGAGGCAAGGACCGCGGATGATGAGTGCGAATCTTGCAATCAGGGATTCTATCTCTCCAACTCTGACGGCAGCTGGAAATGCAAGGCTTACACGTGTGCTACAGGCAAGGGCAAGGCCTGCAAGGTGTGCCAAGAGCAGAAGGACAGGACAGATAACGATCAGTGCTCGGCGTGCAACGCTGGTCTCCGGCTAAGTTGATGCAACTTGCAACGCAATGCACAAGGATGCTGTCTGCATTTTTCGACACTGAGGCTATGAGCTCTTATCCAATGGTAAATGCAAGCCATATGCATGCAAGACCGGACTTGGAATGGGATGCAAGGCAATGAGTGAGTTTTTGCATTTACTTCACAGCGTGAGCTGACAAATTTGTATTGAGCAGGTGTGCCAGGCCATGGTAAAGCGAACGGCAGCGAACCAGTGCCAGCAGTGCCATGAAGGCTGGAAATGTTTGCCAGAGAGTGGTGCAGGCGTTGACAACCTTTCCTGATTGCCAGGCTATTTCTTGGGAGACGACTCCAAGTGTCATCGTTGGAATTGTGAGGTAGGTGATGGCAGTGCTTGCAAAGCCTGCTTTGTGCAGGGGCTGCGCACGGCCCACAACCAGTGCGCACTCTGCAACGCTGGATACTTCAGGAACCATGCAGATCTTAGCTGTCAGCCCTTCACGTGCGAGGTGGGAAATGGCACAGCTTGCAGCAGCTGTCTCCCACAGGGCCAGCGCACTGCCCATGGGCAATGCTCAGCATGCAATCCAGGCTATGACCTCACAGACAAAGCAACATGCCGACCCTATGATTGCTCGACTGGCGATGGCACCACATGTGCTAGCTGCAAGGAACAGTCTGACAGGAACTCAGACGGAGACTGTGCTGAATGCAACCCTGGTCATTTCCTGACACCTGCTTTTCCTTGCCAAGCTTATGAGTGTAACCTTTTCGCAGCAACAGGTTGCAAGAGCTGCCGCCCACCAGACGAGCGGACTGCTCACAACCAATGTGCGGAATGCAAGTTTGGGTTCGAGCTGACAGATAACTTTATGTGCAAACCTCCGGATTGCAGTGAAGGGTCTGGTCCAGGCTGCAAAAAGTGTGATTCAGAGGGGGCTGAATGCACTGAGTGCAACAGTGGCTACTACTTGACGGACGAGAAGCTGTGCCAGCCATACACATGCAGCACTGGCCCTCCGCCACTTTGCAAGACTTGCAGAGATGCTGAAAACACAACTGCAGACAACCAGTGCAAGGATTGTTCTGCCGGGCATCATCTTAGCAAGACCTTCTCGTGCATACCTTACTCCTGTGCCAAAGGAGTTGGCGACATGTGCAAGACGTGCAAGCCAGTCCAAGAACGGATGAAAGATGACGAGTGTGCTTCTTGCAATCCAGGGTATGAACTCACAGAAGCTGGTATCTGCAAGCCGTTTGCCTGTTCGACCGGGAATGGGTCGACATGCAAGACGTGCCAAGATCAGAGCAAGAGGACAGGCCACTTCCAATGCGCATCTTGCAACGATGGCTACGCATTGCAAGAGGATCTGACATGCAAGCGTGTAACCTGTGAAGTTGGTGACGGGGAGGCTTGCAAGGAATGCGATGACAGCCACCGGTGCGCATCATGCAATGATGGTTTTCAGCTCACCCCAGAGCGCACTTGTGAAGCTATTCCATGCGAAACCGGTGATGGTGCGACATGTTCCGCTTGCATGGAACAGGAAGAGAGGACCAAAGTGAATCATTGTGCCAGTTGCAATTTCGGTCACCGATTGTCTGAAGGCACTTGTAAGCCATATATTTGCAAAGAGGGGTACGGCGATGCCTGCCGGACCTGCGTGCCTTTACTGGACAGAACCGATGACTTCCAGTGCAGTGCCTGCAACCCAGGCTATGTGTTGACGGACGGAAAGTGCGTCGGGTTCACATGCTTGCCCGGCGACGGTCCGGGTTGCAAGGCTTGCAAAGAGCAGAGCGCAAGGACCGCAGATGATCAGTGCGGGGAGTGTAACCCTGGCTTCGGACTGACGGAGGATTTCGGCTGCAAGGCCTTCGCCTGCAGCACAGGTCCTGGCACGGGTTGCAAGGCTTGTCGTGCCTCTCAGGCTCGAAGCGCTGATGGTCAATGCCTGGAATGTAATCCCGGGTATTTCCTCACTGATGACTTTACCTGTGCCCCGTTCCACTGTGATGAGGGCGGCGGCGCTGCTTGCAAGACATGCCGTCCCCTTGAAGAGCGCACGAAGAACGGCCAGTGCGCAACTTGCAACCCGGGCTTCAGTCACGGGCTAAGTTGGTCCTACGTAAAGGCCAGCCGTTGTTGGCTTTTATGTGCGTGAATTCTCAGGCCTTCGGGATGATGGCACTTGCAGGCTCTTCACCTGCCGTGCTGGGCCAGGAGACATGTGCAAAGTTTGCAGGGCAGTCGAGACCAGAACAGCGAGAGACCAGTGCGACAGCTGCAACAGCGGCACCCTGGCGCCATGAGTTATCAGTGTCGAATCAATGTCTGCTTTGTATACTGCGGTAGGACGAGAGTTCGACCCACTTTCTATTTCAGCCGCTGGAACCTTAAAAATAGTACAACTTGTACTTGGGTGGCTTCACCCAACATGACGCTGCGGTAGGATAAAAGTTTGACCCACTTTTTATTTCAGACCTACACTAGTTGCAGACCTTTTCTTTCGCATAGACACCTCCACTGAGCACCGTGGGGACTCCGCTGGAACCTTAAGAAGTATTAATACAAACCAGCGTACTAATTGACTCCGCAACATGGCCCATGCTACGTGCTCTCTTCGCAGATGTTGGGCCTCCTGACAGGCCCCGAGGCCCTGTAGGTCGAAACATTATTCCTAGCTATGTAAGGTCCCAAACAGTTGGTCCCATGAAGCAGAACTCCTTCCTGGAATGTTGACCAGATGATCTGAGAATTTGGTTCCTCATTTAGCAGGAGCGTATCAATCAGTGTGCCTCCAAGCTCTTCCAGACTTACCTGCCAGGTTACTTCCTGGATGATGTCGCGCACTGCCGGCCATATAAATGCAAGGAGGGCACCGGCGATTGCAGGCGATGTCTGGCCCAGCGCCTCGCCTGCTCCATGGGAGGTTCTCAATCATTCTTGCATTATATTAGGACTAGTGAGTGGGGACTATCCTTTGCCCCTGCCTACCAGAGCCTACCACAGTTCAGTTTGATCATTGAGCGGCAGTTCTTCTCATGTCCTACCTGCATGTGAGGAGCCGGCGCGTGGCACAGGATCAGTGCAAAAGGTGCAACCCCGGCTTTGAACTGACTGAGCAAAGAAGTTGCCGAGCATATGGGTGTCGGCTGGGATCCGAAACAAACTGCGCGGAGTGCTTGGAGCAGCCGCTGCGAAGTGGTGGCTTGAATGACAAGGAAAGGAAAGCAAGACATGGAGCCACGTGGCACTGTTGCAGCTTAAAGACGTGTCTTGCCTCCGAGGCGCAGACCAGTGCAAGAAATGCTTGCCTGGGTACAGGCATGTTGCCAACTGTGTCTGCTAAGCTTTGGGCGGTTGTGGCTTGCTGACGATGTCAAAATTTTCTTATGCCAGGCTTACGCACGACATGGTGTGCGTCAAGCATACTTGCGCTGTTGGCGAGGGGGCAGCCTGCAAGACATGTGCTGAGCTCGCAGACAGGCAATCATGCCATCATAGCCCACCTGAGTTAGCACGGGACCATGACTGAAAGTGTCGAGATGGCAGGACCTTCGGCAACCAGTGCAGTGCTTGCAATCCTGGTTTTGCATTGGTCGACGGCAAGTGCAAAGAGTTAACCTGTTCGATTGGGAGCGGCTCGCGCTGTCAAACCTGCAGACCTGCAGACAAGCGAACAGCACATGAGCTTACCTCAGATAGTTTTCTGCATGAACTTTTGCGTCAGAAGTGGGGGGCACATTTTTCTTAGGACCAATGTGCCGAGTGCAACCCTGGGTATGGCCTGGACGAGTCCGGGAGCTGCTTCGCATACCAGTGCACGACTGGCAAGGATGAGAAGTGCAAGACCTGCAAAAAGTTCGAGCTGCGTACCGGCCACAATCAGTGTGCAGAATGCCGCTTTCATCGCAATAGGAATCAAGCTCTAGCCTGGTCAAGTGGCTCTGATTGCCTCCCACCTGAGGCAATGAAGGGTTTGGGCGCACCCCAAGCTCGTCATGCGCAGCAGAGGAGCTGAAATGGCTTCCCCGCTTCAGCGCCGCATGGCTGGATTGTTATGGATGAGCCAAGAGGTTGAAACTGAGTGTAAGACGGTCAATTTGGGGTGGATGTCAGTAACGACTGAGGCTGTGATGTACACCAAAGAGGTTGTGAAGAAGGTTTTCCGCGAGCTTGATTTGAACGGTGATGGCAAAATCACTGCAGACGAGTTTAGCAAGAAAGAGGTGGACACAACTATTGCAGAAGACGCTTGCCAAGCATACAGGTAAGACTTGTTGCGTTTCAGTCCGAGCCTTAGCTGTTGAAGCAAGAGTCCCTCCGATAGTATACAAGGCCCTTGGCAAGCTGGCAATGGACCGTTTCTTCGAGTTTCAGAAGGACCGCAGTCCGGGTGATACGGATCTGGCGGCTATTGACAAGGTCTTCGAGAGGTTGCCGGGCATGAGACTGCACACTTGCCATCCTTAGTGAGTTGTTGATTCGATGCTGAGGTTGGATGAAGATCACAATGAGCTGTTGACATTGCCTGAGTTCAATGCTGGAGCCAGAAATCGTGAGGTCAAGGCAAGTGATTTGTTTCAGTCAGTTGACGCAGATGGCGACGGCTTCTGGGAAGCAAGCATCTCATTTAGGATGGCTCCATGCTTTCAGATGGATTTGTGGAGCTCTGCCAGCAAAGGACGCGTCTCTCGCAGTGAGTTCCTGAAGGCTTCACAGGGACCAACAGAGCTGCGCTCCATGAACCAAGCTTTCCGAAGGGCGGACTCTGACAAGGACAGCTCATCTGTCATGACGTTAGCTCTTCCAGATAGTTCGATACAGTTATCCTGGCTGGAAACTGGGAAGTGAGCACTGTGATCCTTGTCATTTTTCATCAGGACGATTTCGTGTCCCAAGCTGAATTTTTGCAAGATGCACGTGCCTTGGTGTGCTATAGTTGGGTTTGGCTTGGTTTGGTTCGCGAAACCAACTCTTGCGTGATCAAGGCGCGCACTATCCGGGCTCTTCTGCCGATGAGTGGCTTGCAAAGTTTGCCAAGCTCGACCGGGATGCTGATGGAAAGCTTTCCAGAATAGAGTTTCAGTCTTCGGAGCATCATCAACAAGCGACGGCACAAACCTCCCTCCTTCAAACAGACAGCGCCGACGACAGCACGGCAGAGACGGATCCAGAGCAAGGCAAGACAAGCTGGCTAACTTGTTCTCACCTGGCACACTTTTTTTTGAATTTGATTGGCTGGCCGGCAGGCAGTAACGGCTTTGGGCATCACAACAACCTTCTGCAGGCACCGGCCAGTTTTGCTTCAGCTTGCCTTGTAAGTTCGCATGCGCAAATAGTGCTGCCAAGGTTTTCGGTTCAGATGGGATTGGCCTGAGAGGACGACCTCAAAGATTTGCACCTGCATAAGCGGGCCCATTGAAATTTGTATTTGCAAGGGCCTGCTAGGGTGTAATTAGCTAGTTGCCAAGACTTGCCGAAGGCAGTGTTGGTTTGAGGTGGCAGGGCCCCCGACAATTTGCACGCTCTGCGGCGAGCGGGAGCAAAGTTGCGTGCAGTGTTGTGTGGAACTGATGTTGATGCAAGAGGCAGTGTAAGTCTAAGTGCAAGGTCTGGTACCGATGGTGGTGATGGTTTTTGTGGGTTTTTTGGCGCTGGCGGAATTATAGTAGCAGCATGAGCAGTAGTAAGAGAAGCGCTGGCTTTGTTGGTTTGCATTGGTGACAATTTGTCGAAGCTTCAACGCTTGAAAAATCAACCGCAGCCACTGAGCTGGAGCCTGCAACGGCTGCGTTGATGGCTCGGTGGCCTCGGCAGACGGCAGTCTCAGCGGCCTGGACCTTTACAGGGGCTATATAAGGGGGTTATTTAGGGAATACATAGGGATGGTGGGAAACAAAATGGCAGCTACTACACAGGGACTAGGGTTCAGGGTTGTCAAGTTGTGTCTCCTGTTTGTCTGTTTGAGGCTTCGGTCTGGGACGCGATGCCGGGCAGAACCCCAGCAGCAGATAGTTGACAAGCAGCAGCTTGCAACCTGTCCTCGTCCCCTAAGGAACTCCGCACAAGAATGTAGAGCGTGATGCAGAGACAGGGAAGGCCGTCTCAAGTGAGTCGAGCCCCCTGGTGGAGAAGCCGAAGGAGTTGTACCTGGACTGCAAGAAAATCAGAAATCACCCAAAGAGAGACAAACCGAGCGAGGTCGCTGCTTCGGAGTCCTGTGCAGTGGTACCGCACTTTGTCTCAGAGCTACTCCTGGAAGCTCCTTGCTATGGTGGCCTGCACGAGCCATTTGCTCAAGGCTCTGGCTGAGCCTGGCTGTTTCCATGTGCGTTTGGGTTTGCACCGCTTGGCAGGGCTTCGTAGCAGGGGGGGGTGACGAAGGACGTGGCCCTCCTTTGCCTTGCTTTTTGCGCATTATGCCGTTTGTTTTTTGTATCTTCTGCCCGACGCAGGACTCATCGGGAAACCTGCAGAGTTCCTGTTCGGTGATCTGGGCATGTCTGCTGGAAGACTCCAAGCCCTGAAGGCCACGGGCTTTTTCCAAGCTTTCTGTTTCTCTGCACGTTGAAGATAAAACCCTTCGAGCAAGGGAGGGTGGAGGCCAATGCAGGGGAAAGGGATGGAGGACGAAAGTGTGGTGTCAGGCCGTTGCCATTGTGCCATTCGCGATGAAGCCCGTCATAGCCTTGCTCAGTGATGCATTCCCGATTTGTGGATACCACAAACTCCCGTATGTGGCCAGGAGCTAAGATGCACACACTGCTTGTTGCCATGACCTGGTATTTTTGGGGGCACCCCCAAAAAGGCATCCTCAGTTCTTAGGAACCAAGCTTAGGTGATTTTCACCTTTATTTCCTTTGCATCCCTTGCGTCTCTGGGCTTTGGCTTCGCAGTGTCGGAAGCTGCAGTGGTCACTGCCCTCTTCCTGTCTTTCCTGCAGGCGCTGCTTGAAAGGGTTCAGGGCAGCAATAGGGAAGCAGTTTGGGCAGTCTGTAATCCAGGTGGCTGGCGTGGACGTGCTCATGGCAGCAAAGCAGTCTGAAGAAGTCAAGAAGCAGGTGCGTGCTTAGATTTTCCTTGATGCATCAGCTCATGAGCAAACTGCGTGGTGCGACAGCAAGAAGGCAAGATTAGGCCCAGACTTCTACACCTACACCTGGCTTGGTATCAATGCAGGCAGGCAATGTCAGTATGCAAGACCTTTGCGAGTCCTAAGACGATAAGAGTTTCGACAGGGCAGGTCCTCAGCGTCTGCGTCCTGGGACCTATGATTGCAGTGATGGGTGCCAGAGCTCCATACCGCTTCGCGGCACCTCTGGTACCTCTGCTGCACGTGGGTAGCTTTCAACATTGGTCGGCGGTGAAACCTCACATAATTCATCTTTTCGCGCAGCACCCTGCGCAAAGTGGTCTTCTGGCAGCCATCGCCGGCCAGACGCGAGAGTGGCTGAGGGGCCGCTGCCACTAGCATGTTCAACCATCGCTCTTACCCCCAGCTGGCAAAGGCTTGCAAGGTTTGACGGCGTTCTGTTTTTCGTTTGTTCGCCGTGATTTCGTTTGTGCCAAACAACTTGGAAGCTAGGTATGGCCATCGCATTGGGCAAGGGCTGCTGTAAGAGCATGATCAGACCTTTTCAGCCAAAGTTCTCTGCAAAGCTCTGAGCTCAAATTTTTGTTGGTAAGGTCCTTGTGGTCCTCTGGCCTGCGTTGGGCAACTTCATGGGTGAAAAGAGGGAGAGGCCGCAGGGCCAGGGCGGCCTGCCGCCTTTCTTTAGGCATCCCGGCATCCCCACGAGTAGCATGCAAAGCGACGTAACAACATCGCCTGTTTACCAGATTTTCCAGGCTTTCTTTTGCGTTTGAAAGGAGAAAACCTAAGGCAGCATGGCGTCCTATGCAGTCTCACTTTGATGATTGGCGTGATAGCTTTCAGTTTGGTGGTCACTCGACTGATGCTACTCCGTCCTACTTTGCGAAAATGTCGTGGAAGCCTTTCATCAACCTCTGAGGTGTGCACCTTTCTTCTAGAGGAGGGGCACTTAGCTCCACTGGCCGCCGTTATGGCAGCCATAGTGCTCGGCTCGTTCGCGCTATTTATCAGGCCGGACAGGTGTCTTTGCACTTTGTTGCCTCCTGATGTGGCTTCCTGAGCTGTCCAGGCATGAGATTGCTGGACCAGTGATTTTCTTCTTCTTGTTGGGCTTGCTCAGTGTCAATATCGACGGAGCTTTGTTTTATTTCTGAAGCTTGGCTGGCGAGATGGAGGTGCAAGTCACGTTTCGGCTGTCCCAGATACCCAAGGTACGGACAACGTGCTGGAGTTTCCCCAGGGTCCTCACTTCACGCCCCACTTCTACATCACAGGCAGCTTCTGGTGCTCACCTTGAGTAATGCACATGCCCACCACCACCGGGATAGAATGTATAAGCCGGCAAAGTTGGCGCCAGCCGCAGTGGCTGCAAGTTGCTTGAAGGCATTGGTGCGGCATCCTTCTTGGGAATCACCGTGGGCTTTGCAACTGGACCGGAGATCTTCCGATCTTGGAGCTACAGGCTTCCATGGCTTGAATCACATGAGTTTTTTCAATGCACCAGATGCAGACTTGTTTGATGCAGGAGCATTTGCATAGCCACGCTGGTTCTTCGAGCTAGGAGCTCAGTCTCGCCAAGACGGAAAGCTGGTTGATGTTGTGAATAGGGGTAGAAGTAGCGGAGACGGAATGGTAAGGTCAGTTTTGATCCCTGCTTGGCTTAGGCCGGCACGCAATTGGCGATGCTGCCGGTGCTTTGCCGCTGGACACTAGCTTTGGGAATTCCGGATAGTCTTTGGCTTCTTGTCACCATGGCTCTCGACAGCCCCTTGTCTTTCTTGGTGCAGTGAGCGGCTGTGTTGGATCCGGGGTGGCTGATCAGTAGCCAAGTATTCGAGGCATGGTGCAAGCATGGCGATGGATTCCCAAGCAGGTCCCAGCTGCAGTTCGGAATTTTGTCATTGCTCAGATGGGAAGTCTTCAACGTAGTCTCTACAAGATAATCCTTCCTTACTAGGGATCCCTAGGGGTGCTGGGGCTTCAGGGTTCCCCCTACATTACATCTCACATAGCTGGGGTGTGAGGTCCTGGCAGCCCACCTGGCCCCCCGGGGTGTGGAAGCCACGACTCTGGGCCTTCACGCGGGAACCTTCAACATGGCCTCCATCTTAAGCCTCCTGGCCTATTTGACACCATGTCTTCATTCAACAGCTTTGGAGAAAGGTATCCGGATACTACAGAAAAACAGGTTAGGTAACTTATGCAGATGACACACTATATTGTAATTGTGAAAAATGAAGTAGGAGGATGACCCTAGGCTCCTACATTGGTGGCTTCCTTCTCACGCACAGCGGGGTGGCACCAACAGGATTGGGGGGACCTTAGATGGCCTCAGGAAGGTTCATGCGAATAGGCCTTGTGAGCGCAAGACCAGCAACCGCAGGATCAATGCAAGAGGGCCGCCAGTTCCAGAACCTATGGAAAGTGCAGTGCCTTGATTGAATTGAAGCAGACCAGCCCGAAAAACCCTCAGCTCATGTACTGGCAGCCTGTGCAGCAGGAAGTCAAGCCAATGTAAAGTAAGAAGCAACCGCAAGCTCAGAGCTGTGCGCAGATGCAGTAGCCACAAGGCACGTTGAGACTCTGTCCGCAGGTGCACAGCCGCATTCTTGCCGCTGCTGCTTGTGTTTCTCGTGCCTATCATGCTCCCGCAGCGATCGCAGACAGAAGTGCTTCTGGAGGACCGCGCAGTGGCGCTTTGCACACCTTGCAGCTGATTCCAGTTGGAAGTTTACCTGCAGGAGTGTGATGACTCAGCCACGCACAATTCAGTGTTTCAGCGCCTGCTTCGGCCAAATTAGGCTTCAAGGCGCAAAGAAAGGCCTTCCAAAGTGGGAGGGGACCGACCTGGCTTAGGAAAAAAAAGTGAGCGCTTAAGCTAATGCTGCTCAGAGTCCAGTTTTTGAATGCGCCAACAGAGTAGCGAAGCCTCGCAGGAACTGCTCCTGGGCATTTCTTAGAATGATGGGTTTTTTCCTTGGCGCAACAGAGATGGTCCTACCTGTGCTTTTTGAGGGGGGTGAGGGGAGAGATGGGACCCTTGGCTTGGAAACACCATGTGGAGGTTGGTCGAGACCAGAGTCCAGGCTCATTGCTGCCAGCGTTCGTGTCATCTGCTTGCGAGGGCACCTTTTTTTTTTTTTTTTAATTTTTT